CTAAGCAAATTCATCTTTCGGAGCAGCTTCATTCTTTGAGTATAACAAAACGTAGACTAGTATACTTTACTTGTCACTAAGATTAGCAGTGCTGCAACTCCTATTTTCTTTTAGATCATTAAATGTGAGTAATTTCAATCAGTTAATAGACGTTCATTTGAAATTGTTAATTGATACCACATATACAGACAAATTAAGTACCACGTATGTAAACATAGTGATGGTGATGGCAGCTAAATAATTCATACACACAAATGATCTATCGAAAAATAAACATTTAAATAATTAGCAACTAAAATTGCAATCACTGCCGCAACCGGAATCGGGACAAGCGTATGGTGAGCTAATACTCGGAGCTCCACAAGGAGAGCAGCAGCTTTCTGGGGTTCCGTCATTGCTTACCGCAACTTGCATACGGCTGCGGACGCAACAACAGATTGGTGCCGGATTCAGTTGGCAAGAAATAGGCGATGCCTGTATACATGCAGAGGCAGATGGAGGCTGTACCCGACAGCCTGCTGCGGACGGTTGTAATTTGCAACAAGACTCTTGCGACTCACAGCCTGTACAGCATGATCTACAAATCAACCGGTAAAGAATCTGCTTGTCGCTTATAATCCTTTTAAATTGTATTCCACTGAAAATTCTAAATTATACCTTTTAACTTTGTCATTCTGGTTATTTCCAGTAAAGTTTTGTCTGCTTTCAGCTTCAGTAAGGCCTCGCAGCTTAGTGTTTATAGAAGCGACCAGAAAATCGAGTAGTGAAGACTTTGTTGATGCTCTGTCTTTAATTTCCGCCTGAAGTTTTGTGGCTTCAGTCAATTAAATCTATACCCACCAATGCTGCAACTAATGAAATAATATATTTATAGTATTCGTTGCAAATCACCTGTAGCTGAACGATGTAGAAAGCTGAAAAGAAAACAAAAATAGCTGCAAACTGCATTTTGTAACTGTTGCTTCTAATTAACTGTCAGTGATAATTTGACCAACTTCGCTAATTTATACAGCGAGTTAAGAACTTTAAAAACTGGATACTTAGATATGCAGAAGCCTTTGCTGTCAATCACTTCTTTTTGATATTAGGTTTCAGTACTAACACAAGCGTTGCGTTTTTTTTTTTCATTTTTTTGGAGTACTTTTGTTGATCGACACCTTTCAACCGGCAGTTATAGTGAGTAGACCAAATTATTCAGATATTGAGTTAGTCGAGTTCCATCTTTCTGAGTTATCTATCAGCAAAGTGTCAAAAATGACAGTA